TATTTAAGAAAATATATTAATATTGAATACTATTCTTCTATGAATAAATAACTAAAAAAACAAAAAACGCACCAATATGCAGGTAAATATATCTTACTCTATTGTAAAACAAACTGTCATACTTGCAGTCATTAGCGTACTACAAATTTTTTGGAGACTTAACTTACTGATGTATAGTCAACAATTTTCAATTAACAGATTGATTCTTTTATGCACACGGTAGATACGAAGGAAAACGGAATTAGTGCGGAGTGATACACTGAAGTAGGAGCTATATTTTCTCTATTTCCATGAAGTAAAAGAGGTGCGTGTTTAAAACCCGTGCTTACTTTCTTGCGTAGATGAGCAGGCCGAAGCTGACCAGGATGACCAGCAGGTAGACATTTGTAGCCTCATTCCAGGCTTCATGCACCGAGTAGTCTATGGAGTCCGGCTGGTTCCCCAGAAGCCCGTGAGCCCCCATTGAAAATGCAACGACAGCTCTAGCAATCAAGGAGTGGAAATAACTGGACCGCTCAGCTCACAAATACCGATAAAATAAACCGGAGACGCAGCTGGAAGAAAACAAGCACTGCGCCACTTCCGCATCGACACCCTGAAGCACTGTTGCCCTCTACAGTCTTCTAAGAAAACTGCAACGATAAGGTTTAATGTAAGGTCGATAGACTTTTCCTAAATAGAGAAAAAAGCCTCTTGGAGATTTTACCCGAAATGTTTTGATAAAGCCAGAAGCGAATACATCTTCTCACTCCCTTCTTGTTCTCTTTACTAAATTAAAAGACGTTTTATCCTTCAAATATAGTGATTCTTGCAGTGAGTGTTTATAAAGTATTTAAACTACACCTCAAAATTAGTGATTACAAACATTAAAATGCCCCTTATTGTCATCTACTCAGCACATTTTGAACAATGTCGGGTTGTCCAAAGTAAAATTATTTCAACTGTAACATATACCTTTGCCAATGTTTTTAAAATGGAAAATTGTTTTTCAAAAGGTTAAAACAAAACAACTTACTCCAACTCCAGTAGTTAAACAGCAATGACTCCACTCAGACTTTGATTTTAAGCTCATTTATTTTTCAGCAGTTCTTGGTACCTTATTCACACACTTCTTTTTATTTTAAATCACATTTGTTTCAAAATTATTTCAATTTCCAAAATAGAATCTTAATATTTTTCAATGCTACAGAAGACATAAACCTGTTTTTAAAACGTAACGGCTGTAATTTATATCTTTATATATATGAACAGTAACATTTCAAATATATGACAAACAGCAGATGTTTGTGCCAGTAACTGCAGTGGTTTAAACACCTTACAGCTCAGGAGGAGTGAAAGAGTCACAACGTAACAGAGAAACAAAAAAATATAAACACAAAGCGGCTAAATCTAGAAAAATTAAAACAATAGCTTCAGTTTTCCAAAGAGGCTGTTTTTGTAGCATCGCGTCAACATTTTGTTGAGCTGAAATGTGAAAAAGTAGGGGAATACGATTTTATATCTGCTTACATTTTAGACTCAAATCATTGAGTACGCTCACCTGGAAACAAATGTCTGAGTTTCAGAATGCGATGAAACGCCACAAAAACACCAACAAAAGCATAATAAGGGACAAATATAAAGACTGGAAGCTGCGATAACCAATAACTTTACCCAAAGCAAACTGAGCTGAAGCCGCCACCAAAGCAGGATGTCAGTGTTACTATTTACAAGAAGCATGAGCCGTTTTAGTAAGTGTAGGATATAAAATGAACTAATTCCTGGCCCATGGGGGGAGAGCGGTTTAAACATGCAGGGTTTCAGTGCTCCCTCTAAGCCTTGGTGAAAATGAGGCTGCAGCACCTCAGCGGAGAGAAAGACAGACCAGCTCACTTCCTTTGAAACCTCTGGAATGAAGAACCGTTTTAATTTCAGCTCTGACAGAATGAAGGCTGAAGAAAATGGAAACAGAAAACAGAGACCGTCCACATGTAAAGTAAGTTGAACCCAGACTGCAGTCCGTCTGTATTCATGTCACAAAACATGGTGTAGAAATGTATCTTTTGCTGCTGCAGCCCGAGCATGTTGTTTAAAGACGTGATTTAAAGCTGCAAGTGTGGAGCCTTTATGAAAATGTTTTGACATATTTGATAAAATTGTTAGTATGTCATGACAGTACGAGACACATAACCTGTGAATTTTTTTTTTACTTTTCTTCATTTTTCCCCAGCACTAACTGCAGAAATACACCACTCAGAAACAACCAATCAGGACCAGGAGGAGGGTCTTAACGCTGTCAATCAATCTTGTATACATACTGCTTACAGCTCTCCCTTGCATCCTGTCATGAATGCTATTATTAGTTAGCATGGTCATCGATGACAGCAGATAAATGGTTTTCCTGTAAAGGTAAGTTGTTTCTCTGCTATAAACTCCACATGCTATTTTTAATTTTCACACTTTTACTGTTTTTTTTTTTTGTTTTGATTGCTAATGCTAATGATAGTTAGCGCGACCATTAATGGTGGTGGATAAACTGTTTTCCTGTCACAGTACGTCGTTTCTCAGCTATAAACCCTAAGTTTTATTTTTATTTTTAACTTAGTTTTACTGGGTTTGCTCAGTTTGCTAATGCTGATGCTAGCTAGCATGGCCACCAATGACAGCAGATAATAGATTTTTCTGTAATAGTAACCCCATTACACTATATTTTTGTTTGCTTTTAATTCTTAATTGTACTGTTTTTAGTTTTTTTCCCCTGTTCATTTACTTGCATACTCTTATGTTAAAAGTAGTTAACCCAATTGCTTATACGTTTGCCAAGTGTAAGTTTGTCAGTGGGGAATATTTAAAACATATCTGAAAAGAATGTTAAATGTAAAACAGTCGTTGTCGTTACGTTTGTATGTTTTTTATGTTATGAAGTCTATTGTTTATGAAAAAAAAGTTTCTGCCATTAGCCCATTTACCAAGTGCATACGCAAGCATGATTGACAACAATAAGAACCTCCTCCAGCCTCTGATTGGTTGTTTTTTTTCAGCTGGTGGGTGGAGCTTGATTTTTTTCCCATACATCATCTGTCTCAGCATATTGTCACGACACAGCGACAGTTTTGACAAATACGTAAAAAACATTTAAAAAGTTACATACTGCAACTTCTAATATTTTGAAGAAGAGAAAAATTATGGAAATGTTTTCATTGAGCATTTTGTAGGGGAAAAAAAAAAAAAAAAAAAAACAGTGATTCCTGATCTGCCCTCCTGTCTGTCGTGGTTCTAGTAGCATCAGCTGATAAAAGCTTCTCTAAGCAGCAATCCTCTTGTTGCTAGCTGTGTGTCAGCTAGCCTGTGGTGCTAAGCAAGCTAAACCGAGATTGGTATTTTCTCAAAGCGTCAGCAGCGTTATTACAGAGTTGCAGTAGAAGCACTAGCATGTTGAGCTAAAGTCGCAGGCCACTGGAAGCGAAACACTGCCAAACACACGAACTGGGACGAAACGCGTCGGGTTAGGCAGAAAGCTTGCAGGCCTAGAGGGAGCACTGATTGGTTCACTGGTGTCACATCAGTATGTCCAGGTCGTCTCCGTGGTCGTCCTCTGTCACCCGTAGCGACAGCACCTCCTCGTTCAGGAAGAGGCCGCTCAGGCGCTCCTTACGCGCCTGCCGCTGCTCCTTCAGCTGACGCTTGCGGAGCGCTTTCTGCTGGAGCTTCCGCTGCTTTGATCGCTTCTGGAGCAAGGAGGTAAATAAGATAAAGATTTTAAAAAAAAATCACAATCACAAATTGCTACAGCACGTTGCTATACACGTGAGTCCAGAATTATTCATACTCCTGGCAGATTTAGGTTTAAACTGTAGGTTTAAACCTAAACATGTAGTTACATGTTTCATTTGACTGGGACATTTTGGAGCTCATGAGAAAAGATAGCTCAACAAAAATATCAACAGAAACATGTAAAAAAAATATGGGAAAAAAAGATCAGCAACTCAGGGTCCCCCCAGTGTATTACAAGCCTGGCGGGCCACCAGGCTTTACTTGTGTCCCCACCATGCCAAGCATTGCTTATTTATTTATTTTTCAAATGTTTGGATTTTTTAAGACTTTATAGTTTGTGTTCATGTATTAATCTTCCAATCATTTGATAACAAGTGATATTTTCACATTTCCTGTCAACTTTAATAATTTTTTTAACTCAAAAACACGACAGGACTCTGGATGAATGACTGGCGTAGTGCCCAAGCACTAACATTATACAATAGTTATTATACTTTAGAAGTAAAACGGTCACATTCAGTGTGTCCCCTTGTCACATTTTGCACTGCTGTAAACCACAGACTCATGTATTTTACTCAGATTTCATGAGCACTCGTCTCAGATTTTGATTTGTAATAGAAATATTTTCCTTCCATTTCACACTTCCTCACTACTTCAGATTTGTGTACTACATGAGAAAGTGTGAAACCTTGTGAGGAGCACAACACCAGCATTAAAAAAAACAGTAAAAACTTCATACTTTAGAGTCTCGGATGCGTTCGGCGGCGCTCGACAGGTTTCCATCGCTGTGAGCTCTGCTGATGTTGCTCCCGCTGCAGGCTGAGGCGGTGCCACCTGGAACGCAACGCAAACAGTTACGGGAAAAGAGCAAGAAGCTCTAAACGAACTGGAACGGCTTTCACCCGTCCAGTTAAATCTGTTTAGGAGAAACCGGAACAAGAGGAACCAGACGGAGGCTTTGAGAGTTCAGGTCGGCCATGTTTGTTTCTGGGTCTCACCAGCCACAGAGTTGGAGGCCGTGGAGCCCGTGGAGGAGCTGGCTGAGCTGACCATGCTGGCGTTGCTGCTGCTGATGCCGCTCACCCCCCCGGTGCTGGCGCTGCTGTGGCTGCTCCTCTTCCAGCCCTCCCTGGTGCTGCTGGCTCTCAGCCGGGGGCTGTGCTCCCTGATGTAGCTCCGCACCTGATACCGGCACAGGGGAAAAACCATCAGCATTTTGAGGTCATTTTGTACAGAAAAGCTAAAAAGAAACAAGAAAATGTCCCTCTATACATTAAGTTAGAACTGGAGGGAACGACTCAGGAATGAAACGGACTAAACCGTCTATTAAGCTGCTTATATCATCTTTATTATTGAAAATAAAAACTCAAGCCTATTATTACTATTTTCAAGAGCTTTCTAACTTTTCCACCTCTGAACTTTGGAGATAAAAACAATACAAATTAACCATTACATGATATCCTTTATTAACATTGTTTTTGTAGTTTTTATGTTTTGACATGTTTCTCACTCACCTCATGAACCTGACTGGTCTGAGAACAAAACGGTTTTTTGACAAAAAAAAATCCTCCAATTTCAATAACTTTAACATAAAAAATATAAGTCATCATTAATTTCAGTTACACAGATCCATTAGGAATAATAAACAATCATTACAGTGAAACAATCCAAAGAAATCGGGTTAACTGACTTTCCTTCTCAAATTAAATGCTTTAAATGCAATTTAAAAAAAAAAAAAGTTACAAAAAAATCTCTAAAAACGTTCTTGCTAAGTTTTCTGGCATTTAACAAATAGAAATAATTTTAGTAATTCTAACAAACCTACAACAATGAATGTTTAGCCCGACTGAACTTCAGGCAGTCTTTTTATTACCTGTATGAAAATATCTGATTCTGTCTGAAAGTAACGTTTTTCAAATCTACACTTTGAATCAAACATTTGATTGAATTTTATTACAAAATATCAAGGACTTTATACAGAAACCAAGCACTTTGAAAGCTTTAAATCACCTAAAACTTGTATTTTTGGGAACTCTGTGGTGTTTCAGAGTGCGGCTCACCTGTTTGAGCTTCTCATCGGTGAGGCAATTGAGCTCGATGATGAACTCGCTGTCGGTGGGAGAGATCTGAGCGCACGGGTCGATGATCTTGATGATGTCCAGCTGCTCCCTCAGGCCCATCTCTGTGCTCACCTTCCGACTCAAATACTCTATGTACTCCACCTGGAAGGGACCCAGAAAGCGCGCGGTTAGCTTTTTGTTCCGACTGACGGAAACAGTTTTGTGTTTCTTTTCCTACCTGCTCATCATTGGTCATGGCGCTCCAGGGCAGCTCGTCCAGGTTGCGGTGGGTGTGTGATTTCGGTTTCCTCTTGGAGAACAGACATGGTGAACTCGGCACGCTTGGGATTATGTCAGAGAGGACGTCACTGCCGCTGGCGATGTCGCTTCCCGGCAACTGGTGAGAAAAGCAAAAAGATCCACACAGAAATGTAAAGGAAGCCTAAAAATAAAAATCTACCCTGATAGAGAGGGAGAGGCTTCATGAAAGCCCACCTGCCACTCAAATTCGCTGTCGGACCAGTCCCAGTACGTGCTGATGGAGGAGGAGACGTCGCTGCAGACGCTGCCCTCCGGAAACAGATCCAGGGATGTCAGTTCCTGGTCGTCCAGCAGGGAGTAGCAGTCGTCCTGATCGCCGACCGACACGGAGGAGAAGAGCTCCTCACTGCACTCTGAGCTGGCTACGCTGGTCCCACAGGAAGTGAGGTTCCACCTGCAACCAGCAGACGGTCACAATGCGACACGGGTTCTGACAGAACAAGCTTCCGATAAGGCGTCAGCTTATAACGCAGAGAACATGCTAAACGAGACGCAAATAGTTTGAAAATTGGTTTACTAATTGCTTTATTGATTAGTTTAGTTATAGAAGTCCAACAAAACAAACAACAACATGTATCAGAATAGAATCATGATCAATATGGATCGATAACACGTCTGACGGAATTTTCAAGGATTTCCTTGAACTCCAATCCATAACCACACAGCATTCTGGGAAATGTAGGCAGAGGAACGCCTCTAGCTGTTCAACCTCTCAGTGCTAGCTAAGCAAGGTTCAGGGTTTCCCCCAGTGTATTATAAGCCTGGCGGGCCACCAGGCTTTACTTGTGCCCCCACCAGGCTAAGCATTGTTTGTTTATTTAAGTCTTTTTCAAATGTTTGCATTTTTAAGACTTTATAGTTAATGTTCAGGTATTAATCTTCCAATCTTTCAATAACACAGAATTATCAAGTGATATTTTCAAATTTCCTGTGAACTTTAAACATTTTTTAACTCAAAAACAAGACGGACCGCTGGATGAATGACCGCCCCAGCGCCCAGCCACCAGGCTTAGCGAGTTTTCTGGGGGAAACCTTGAGGTCGGTGGCGTCAACTAACTCACAGTTTTGGTTACCTAGCAACAACCTGTTGAGTAACTGGTGCAGCAGCATTGTCTGGTTTCGCCACCGTGACTCATAAATGCTTAAAAATAAGAGAACAACGTGAATGGAAACCTGCATAAAACAGGAAAAGAAACACCACCAGTTTGGCTGCGTTTCAGATATCTAATCAATAATTATTGATATGGATCATTATGAAACCCTTTTATAGTGATCCGTTTTTCAGAAACGGATCTAATTTATTTCCAGACATGCATGGACATACCTTGGCCAAACATCTATTAATAAAGCAAATAAAATAAGATAAAAGAAGCAGTCTTTAAATTCCTCATCTGAAGAAAATTTAAATTTGTTCTCCCATCGGCTCGTCTCTGTTAACCAGAAGTTTCTCCCAGGAGCTCAGTACATGAAACCTTTTCATTAATTTTAACAACCAATTCATTCTTAGTCACCATGTCTCTAATTTGCCCTCAACTGTGTTTTGATCATAAAGGCTTTTTTTCCAAAGAACCAATAACGCCAGATGACATCATACTGACACGCATCATGCACGTTATGTAATGAGATGTTTATTGACGGATGGAAAGCAGGCCTCGCTGCTACATGTTGGTGTTTGTTTACATGCCAATTGACAAACTATAAGAATAAGAAATAATTCCACATAAAATGGAGTCAACCTGATCAAAGTCTGCTTAAAAAACAAAACAAGAAGCAGACAAATCAAAGAATATTTTTGACCAAAGTTTGTGTGATAAACCACTTAATGAAAATTGTTGCATACCATCTTTTAACAGTAAATGTTAAGTGGTTACTATTGTGTATCAATTTAAAGAAGACGACCCAATGGATGCAGCTGGAACGACTGAAGCTACATTAAAAAAAACGCAACAAGAAAAATAATTCACTGTGTGAGGTTCACTGCTGAATATCACTTTATGGTTTGTTTACGTTCTGGTTAAAAACAAACTGTGGTAAAATAGAACAAAACTTTGGTGCAAACTAGAGAAACCCCAATTCGATGAGAAGATAAAGAGCAAAGATAAAAAACACAAAATATTTGTTTAGCTTCTGGATTAATGCGCTCTAAATAGTGAAGAGCTGTTTTGTTTTATATAACACCTTTTCAGCAGCAAGGCATTTCAAATTAAAATTCAAAAATGCCTTATTATGAAATTAAGTGTTGTAACTCATTATCAGTCATCAGTTTTTTTGCATAATTAAAAAGAAAATAAAACTGCAAACGAGTAAACAGCGTAAAAATAAAAGGAAGTGGTGACTGAGTGAAAAAAAACTGATAATTTATGATTTTCAGTTGAAATGAATCAAATGCAACTGTAAACAAAAAGGTTTTTAACCATGATTGAAAGGAAATCAGTGTTTCAGCAGCTTTGCTGGTTTCTGGAAGTTTGTTCCAGATTAGAGGATAGTTGAATGTTTGTAAACCACAGACTTTCATCTACTGGAACTGTCTTAGTAGTCATGTGACCGTTCTGTGATTTAACATTGTGCTGCGATCGGCAGGTGGCCCAGACGTCTCCGCGTGCAGAAATACGCTTTCTCCTCACCTGTTGCTGTGGAAACGGTGTAGAGGGTCTGTTCTGTGACAAGATGAGAGCTGACAGCTGAACTCGCTGACGTCCAGCGTTCCCACATCGCTGAGGTTGGCTCTTTGGGAGAGGAGAGGGAACGGCTCCTCTGGGGCCAGAAACTTCTCGTACAGAGATTCAGACATGGCCGGCTTTCTGCGCTGCACCTGATGTAAACGAGACAAACAAACCGCATTTTGGCTGTGAAGACACCCGTCGGTCCTGTTCTGACTTTCATGTGGGAGTGAACCATTTTAAAAAGACCAAGTGGTTGATTGGAGGATCAGGAATTTTTACAGATTTAAGTAATTTTTTGGGAGGTTGCGGTACCAATCAGATATCAAAACCTGATTAGTAATAAAAGGTCAAATACTGAGAAAAAATATGTTTTTATTCCCATTTAGTAAACATATCATGACTAGGTACTCTCGCCATTTTTGGTCAACAGAAGTGAATAAACCAAACAGCATGCACTTCATTTGGTTAAAGTTTTAAAAATCACATAAAAAATGAGAGTAGTCTTGTAATAATTTTACCTCCAGTTGTATTTGACAACATTTACTCTACTAAAGCACCTGAGGCTTATTATCGTCACTACAGAATCAGTCATAATGGGTACTGGTAAGAAAAAAAGCCTGATGAGTGCTTTTCTAATCTTTGACATTTGACTCTGCTTATTTTGAAAAAAGTATTTATTTTTTTTAACCATATTTACTTTGGATCTCAATGCAAATACTCGACAAGAAGAAGAAAATTGTGTGGGGAGAGCTGAAGGAAATAACTTTAAACTTATTATTCAAAACATAGCTAGTTTTAAACCTTGTCAGTGTCTAATAAACTGGCTAAAAAGACACAGTAAACAAAAATGATTTTATTGTATCCAATATGTAGAGTAAAACTTTTCGAATCATATTTTACAGTATTACTAAATCTTCTAACTTTGTATTCACAGCTCATAGCTAATAGAATGAACTGAATAATGTCTATAAACTGGTTAGTTTTGATGAGATGCGAAGAAATTGCTCAGTAAAGCTACACTAGCATTCAAATCGGCGTCCTTCACGCCACTAAATAAAAATGCTAAATTACATTAGACAAGTTATCTAAATAAGGTATATCTTTCCTTTAACTGTTATTTAAGAAAAACACCCGCTAACACCGTTAGCTGGAAGCTAATGTTTCACCTGAACAACGTAGCGCTTACCAAACAACACAACGACAGTTAAAAAAACGTTGTTACTGAACAATAATCATTTTAAACAGTAAACAAACCAAACTGGTTTACATAAAAGCTTAGACAAACATCAAAACGCCAACCTTTCAGCGTTCAAACAGCGACCATGAATGCCATCTCCATTTGCTAATCTTTCTTTTCTCACGACGAATTAAGCTGTCCTCGCGAGACTCAGCTGGGAGCGAGAAGACGCAAAGGCTGCCTCACGTGACCTAAAGCCGGAAGTTTTCACGTAAACACTAGGTAGCCTAAAAACATAGCAAGCTCTGTGCTTCTGTTCCTTTTTATTCTGCTTTTTTTTTATCAACAAGAACACATTAAGCCATGTCTTCAAGCAACGTAAAAGACTCTAGCTTCTTGGGAGGTAGAATACCACCGGAAATAGAGTCAATGTCGAAAAACCTGAAGGATGTGGATCAAGAGTTGTTTAGAAAACTCCTCAAAGGTAAATGAGTAAAAGGAAGTTTAAAACAACGTAGTTCTTACTGTGTTTGTTAAACAAATTTCAGATTTGTAAAATGCTCCTTATAATGTCTTACTGTGAAACTGTGTTTTCACACGTTGCTAAAATAAACACCACAACTTATCACCCTTGACTTAGAAAATACAAATCAGTTTTTGTCGTTCTGTGTCCAGTTGTGGTCAGTGCTCTGGAGGGCAAAGACTGCAGGGAGGTGATGAAGTCAATTGCTGAAAGCAGCGTCATCCCGCAAGAGAGGCTCAGTCACATCATCGCGGGGATGCACAGAGTTCTCTCAGAGGCCATCCGCATCCCAGCATCCCTGCTGAAACAGGAGGCGAGTGTTACAGACTGAACCCGAGTCACACAGAAAACATGCGACACAGGGTTACATACTGCTGCCGAATCACATCATTTGATTAAGAATGAATGCATACAATTGATTATTCGATAAATAATATTCAAGCCAATTATGGGTAATTATTTTTTTTAGTAAAAATCAGTAGTACTTGGCTTTAACATTATAAAAATGTTGCAAAAATGATCACCAGTGACACCAAGTGTAATTGTCTGAGCTCATTTGTTATCTTTTTTTGGCTGCAGATCGCCAACACAACAGTGACTGAGCAACAGAGGAACATGCCAGCCCTCTATATAATACACTGTATAATGTATGGAGAGTGCCTTGCAAAACTATTCATACTATTTCAACCTTTCCCCCCATTCTGTCTCATCACAACCGTAAAATGTTTTTACTGGAATTTGAAGTGACAGCGCAGCACGAAAGTAGCATATATTTCACCAAAAGGCTGTTTTTTTTGGGGGGGGGGGTTTGGTGTTATGTCTCTGTCAGCTTTGCTCATCTAAAATCTTTCATTAATTATTTTGTCTTGACTGAGAAATATTCCCCATTAAAGTGTCCTGAATGCTCACTGCAGCGTTTGAACACATGCTCCATCCCTCAACTATCCGGTGTGTTCTTGTTTAGCATTTGCCTTCTTTAGCCCAGTAGTTTCCCTGGATTTTATTAAAGGGCATCAGAGTAAATACGCTTCAACTTTTCACAACAATTCCTTCCACTTTTGCAATTATACACCACTTTGTGTTGGTCTGTCATGTACAATTAAACGAAAAATACATTAAACTTAATGGTTTTAATATGATAAAATATGAAAAAGCTCAATGTTTCTGCATTTAATTACCATCCCTAGCTTAGCATGTAAATTTTACTTGGTGAATATTTATATTTTTGTATGAACTGAACCTTTTCTATTTGTTTTTTTTTTTTTTTATGGTCAGGCCTTTAAGGAAGATCTGCGAGAGCTTAGGTAAGGACCGTCATCTCGTCTCCAGGCATCGCTGGCATCTGATTTTTACAGACTCTTTTTGTCCTTAGAATACCAGAAGACTTCATCACAGATTTCTCCAGTGTGGTTTTTGGAAATCGGTACGTGGGTTTCGCCGGGTTTTGATTCAGAAGTTTGCACATCGGATCTCACGCTGTGCCCTTTTAATAGGAATAAGCCGAAAACCATCGAGTTCTGAGTTCCTTTGTCTTTATGTCAGAATTTAGCCGCATTTTTCCGTGTGCGTTTGCAGACGTGCTGCTCTGGAAGCGGCCTCCTCTCAGAATGACCCTCACCTTCCCATGCTGGAGGAATTCAAATGGAGAGTGGACGTTTCCATTTCTACAAGGTAATGACAACGACTCTGTAGCTAGCTTTCATCATCTGTGGGTGAAATCTCAAGGTATAAACATTTAAGGATGACAAATATTTAGCAGAAATGTAACAAACGAGCTAAAAGCTGCATGGAATCACTTAACTGTGTGTGTGTGTGTGTCCAGCTCGTTGGCCAGAGCCCTGCAGCCGTCCGTTCTGATGCAGCTGAAGCTGTCAGATGGGAGCTTCCAGCGCTTCGAGGTACTGAAACAATTCATACTTTTTCTATTTCAACATCACACTGAAACTATATTATAAATGCACCCACAGTCGAACCCTTTGGCTCTTTCTACCTTCAGTGTTCTTTTAAATTGCTTATTTTGTCAGCAAATTCCGCCATTTCCTAATCCTCCTAGCCTTTTTGCTAGTCTGCAAAATGGTGACGGCCAAGGTTGGTAGAGAACGTCAAACTCCACTGGTTGTTCAACAATAACTGGATACGTTTTTTTTGAAAATGGTATCTTCTGTTGGGTAGTCATTACCCAATCGATGTAAACATAATCACTGTACAATACTTTGACCTTTTAAAATTTTGCATCTAAAAAAAAATCACTAAAGTATGAAAAAACCAAAACTACTACTGGAACTAGTAAAAATGAAACTAAAACTAAGCGATATTTAACTAATAATGACTAATAAAACGCACTCTAAAAAACTAATTTAAACTAACTTAATTAGACAAAAAGACACAATGAAATAAAACTAAACCCAAAACTAATTTAACCCTTCACCAGAGCAGTTATTTGAGCTTTTCAGTTAACGTTAGCTTGTTTCCTCGCTGTGTTTTGATAAGACTCATTGATAATTTGGCCCTTTACATTTCAGCCATTGTCATCGGTTCCAGTTAATCATGTGCAGGTAAAACTTAGAGGAAATCTTCTTCTCCTGCTTTACAGACTTACAGCCTCACTTTGAATGTTTTAAAATTCAACCACACGTGTTTCGGCTGTGTTCAGCGTAGCTTTAGCGGTGCGGCTTGAAAGCACAGAGCAGGTCACCTGACGGACAGACTTTCTCTCTTTTACTGTCAAAATTTTTGCAAAGGGTGCTCTTATGGGATCAACAAAACAAAGTGCAAACTTTTGCATCAAGTTAAACAAAATTTGGGGAGGTTCAAAATTTACAAATAGTTTTTCAGTCCACTTCTACAGGTCAATTTGTCCGAAAAAAACAACAACAAAAAAAACATCTTCAGTTAATTTTGCTAAGTTTTTAAGTGCCATATGATTTACCTCAAAACACTGTTCTTTTATTTTTCATTAAAATGCAACTAATATTTGCTGACAAGACATTAGATGGATGGGAAAGGTTACATTTTGACCTGAAAGTCGCAAACTGTTCAAAACAAATGAAGTTTTTCAGTCTTAAATTAAGTCTCGATTAAAGTTTGTTGTTTTTCAGCTTTCATTTTCTGAAATGTGGCAAAAATCCAGTCAACTCCAGGTTGCATTCAGCTGTTCAGAAAGCACAAAGTTATCATCTGTTGTCTGTATGTCCATTGTTGGTTCTGCACTCCACTCAATTTAGCCTGAAAGTTAAAGAAATCTGGCTGTGGGCCAACAAACTAAAGTTAGCCTGTGTCTGTTGTTACATAATGGGATCACAGGCTAATAACTGAAGAAACATTTGCTCAGTGTAGCACATGTACTCTCCAAAACAATAGTTTTTCTCTCCTAATCTATTCTACCTGTTATGGTTTTTACAGAAAATACTAAAATAAAAAAATTTTAAAAATCAAATGTTGCATCTCTGTCATTGATGTGACTTTTTTTTTATCTCTCCAAAAAAATCCCAGTAGCAAAAGAAATGCTAGTCACTCAAAATAATTTCTGTCGTAATGCTGTATATGAGGGGTAAGATATAAAATTAATTTGTTTGATAGAGTGACCTGTTGCTTTGATTTTAGCCAGCAGAGGGCGCCTCACTCCTGTTTTTTGGCTTCCTCATCACAGAACAGAAGCTGCATCGACCTTTCTGCCGCCGCTGTTCACAAACTAGATCACTAATATGATCTAGTGATCTATTAGATTACAGCAACAACATCCGATTACACTGACACTTCGTAATTTTTTTTTTTTTCGTTTTATATGCAGGTGCCCGTGTCAAAATTCCAGGAGCTGCGTTACAACGTCGCTTTGATTCTTAAAGAAATGAACGACTTGGAAAAAAGGAGCATCCTGAAGATCCAGGACTGATAAGAAATCCACCAATGTCCTCAGAGACTCTTTAAACAAGAACCTGGAAGTCTGAACATGGTGAAGGAAGTAAAACAAAAAAAAAAAGCTTTCTCCTCTGATTGTGTTGGCATCCAACACACCACAGCTTTTTTTTTTTTTTCATTATTTTGAAAGAACAACCAATATTTGAAATGATACTGTATGTTTTGGTTTTGTTTTTTTCTAAACATTAACCACAAATATACGTGAACACTGTTGGTGCTTAGAGACAGCTCTTGTGTTGTGCCAAAACCAAGTCAAGAAACTCACCTTGTTGTTGATTAAAATACCACAATATGTAAATTACCTGAGACTGAACGTGCTTGTAACAATAAACTGATTTTTTTGTGTTAATATATCAAATTTAAATCATACAGAAACAAAAAAAAAATCTTTCACTTGCATGTATTATTTCTTTTTTAAAAACATATATTGTTTTATTCCCTTTAACTTTATTTTAAGGCGGAGCTAGGTCTCACCAGGTGTTTTGCACTGCTGAATGGTTAGAATCAAAGCAACACACCATGTATGTTTTTGGTGAGGCAATAACATCATTCATATAGAAAATTGATTGGAGCCCTGTGTTACTGCCCCTTTAAATCCTTTCTAAAGTCTGGCTCAGTTCACAGACATTTTCCACACCGTCTAACTGAACTTTAGCTATTTTTTCAAAAAGAGTTTTCAGTTGCTAGATGTGCAAAGAGGCATTTTTTACTCAGAAGTCCACATCACACTTCTTAGATGTTATTTATAAAAAATAAAAAGCTTAAAACATGTCCTCCAAGTTCCACTTCACCATTATTCCCTACTTTATCAGAGGAGTAAAATTTTACAAAACATATTGGAGTTCAAAATGTAAAAACGTCCAATGGAAGTTAACTAAAATCTCGAGGTATTCCTCTGTATTTGCAGGATGTGTTGTAATGCACAGTCCTGAACAAATCCTCAACCTAACACTTGACACATATAGAAAGAAGCCTTAAAATCCTTAGCATGAGCATCCATCTGTTAGTCCTTGTGTAATGGTCTGACTTTGACAGTAACTGCTTGTTCCAACCCAGTCTGCAAAGTTCAGACAGTCTGTGACAGTTTGCCCTACATACAAAAACCTCACAGTGATCAACTTTTAGGTCTGAGGGTGAAAAGTACATGCCTGACCGTATGTGTGTGTGTGTGTTGCATAAGATTCTGTAAGTGTCCTCTTTTGCATATATGCCAGTCTGTCTGTTTCTCCATGTGTGTCAGTCTGTCGGTATGTCAGTCGGCGTTCCTGTCTATGCGTGGGATTGAGTTCACGAGCCAGACCGGCCGACCTATATTACCAGCAGTTACTGAGACGGGCTCTGGTGGACCGATTGCTGCATGTAATCCACACACACACACACACACACACACCTGAACTGCTTTCAGCAAACAGGCTTTATTTGGGGACTGCAGTAAGCACCACCGACTGGTTAAAGGAGAAGCTACTAATACAGTGTAGGATAGTGTCTTCCCCATTCAGAGGAAAATCCCTTCGGCTCAACTCTGATGTTATGAAGCCATTACAGAATTTCAGGATTTGCATTCAAACGTGGAGCAAAACGAAGGACAACAGAGGTACAGGGGCAATAGGCTGGATGTGCAACAGCAAGAAGCCCCTTGGAAACTTTCACTGAGCTAGATTCAGAACTGTGCTTGTTAAGTAAGATGTCACATAGAGTGAGGGGTTTTTTGTAATTATGCAAACAGTTTTTATGCAACAAAGACTGGCTGCACTTCAGAGCACCAGTGAGCCGTTCCAGTTATAAAACCACCTACGCTTCTTGGCCTCTGTCTCATTTTGATAACTCTGTATTTGCTTCAGCTTTTATTCCCGTATCATGTCGCCGTATCGGACATCCCAAATGGTGACCAACACCTCTAGATGGTCAAAATTACACAGAATATTATTCCGAATATTATATCATCATGGTGAAATATAGTGGCAGCTTCAGGCTTTGGGGGTATTTTTCTTCAGAAGGGGTCAGGGAAGCAGTCGGAGCTACAGACGGGATAAGATGTTCAGCTTCGAGCAATGGCTCTAAACCAGGGCTGTCCAAAGTGTGGCCCAGGGTGCCATTTGTGGCCCCTGAAATGATGTTCAGCCTCCCCGACCATACGTCAAGAATAACAAAAATTTGGCCAACAAAATAGAAAACAGTTGATGAAAAATGTGGAATTTGTTTGTTTTGCCTTTTAATAAAGCAACAGTCCAAGGCCTTTTCTAGCAGAAATGTATAAGGATTTATAGATTTCATAAAAAGGTTATTTTTGAGCAGGTAAAACTAAATAAAAGAAAAAGAAGAATCACGATAAACAAATTTTTGAATTTTTAATTTAATAAACTTTGTGAGCAGTTTAAATTTTCCAGTTTGGACACCACTGCTCTGAACAAGTCAAATTTACAATGGAAGACTTTAGCCATGCAATATGCTTATGTGTGAATGGCTCAGTCAAAGTCCAGACAAAGCTAACCAAACATCTGTGGGAAGTCTTGAAAATTACATTTCACATACTGTCTCCAATTAGTCTTGTTACTCTGAAAACAAGAAAATGCAAATTCTTAATCTCAACATGTGCAAAGCTTGTAGAGAAACCATTCAAGGTATTGACTTGGAAGCTTGCCACACTTTTCAGATGTGGCTAGATCCATTTCTTTCTTTGCTCTACATTGTTTGTCACAAAAAATTCCATTAAGACACATTAATGTTTGTGGTTGTTACATGACAAAATGTGGACACAGTGTTATCCAATGTGTATTACATATCATACAAGGGAGAATTTATAATATTTAGTCCCCCACCCAACGCACACATGCACACACATACACACCTGCAGCCCGTCTCTGCTCACTGATATCCAGAATGCAGGTCAGACAGGCTCCGAGAGGACCTGCTCTCCTGCCCCAGAGAAAAACTATTACATGCGGGTTTGTTTTGTAACTGTTTTTTTCTCGACTCGTCCAATCAGAACAGCTGCTCGGCGTCACGTGACCCAGTTGTTTTACATAACAGTTTTTTTTTTCTCCCTCTCTTTCCTCACCCCACTGAGAATTTTAGATGCGTTTCCTGAACTTGACCGCTAACATTTCAGAGCAGTCTGTACTTCAGTGGAACCGGAGGCTGAATGGCAGCCTCAGCACCGCGCTCTCAGGCTCCACTCAATAGATGAAGAAGCGGGAGACTTCCAGGAGACGCGCTCCGTATGGGGACTGAGTGTGAGAGCATGCTGCATCTGGCAGCGGAAGCTTTCCAAGCGAACAACTTCGAGCTGGCGGCGGATATTTACGAGTGCCAGCTGGCGTGTGCCGGGGACCCTGGGAGCCGGCTGGAGCTGATGGTGAAGCGGGCTGACGCGCTCGCCTTCGGGGGCAAAGTGGCGGAAGCTTTCGAGGTGTACCGACAAGCATCCGAGATAGACAAACTCAAACCCGCTCACCTGTCCAACCTCGTTGGGTACCTGTCGGACAGTATCCGGAGACAGGACCGGGGTCGGAGTCATGGCAGCCACTGGAGGACAGGCTGTGGGTCAGGTAGCGGGTTTGAGGACTTATCCTGCGGGATCTGTCTGAGCTTTCTGTTCGAGCCGGTGACTCTGCCGTGCGGACACTGCTTCTGTAAGAAGTGTCTGGAGAGGGAGAGAAAAGAGAAGGAGAGGCCGGTGGTATGTAAGGAGTGCAGGGACAGCTCCAGGCTGGCCGACCTCCAGACTTACAGGGTGAACGTGGTGCTCAGCAGCTTGCTGGCCAAGTGGTTCCCCAGCTTCCAGCAGGCCGGCCGGCTGAGGCGGGAGGGGAACGGGCTGTACGCCGAGAGGAAGATGGAAGCAGCGCTGGAGAAGTACAACCAAGCCATACTGACAGGTAATTACTACTAGTATGTCTGTCCTGACAAACTTTGACCTCTTTAACTTGTGTTTTTTACTAGTTTGTAACGTTGCGTGGTGGTGTTATAAAACCAGCGAACGACACGACACTGTCATTGGTACAGAAAGTGTGTCACGGAGTGAGTGACAGACAGCGGCGCACCCTGAATGTTCTGAGGGCAGCCGCCATGTGTTGGATAACACGGTTATGTAGGCTGGGCCAGTGGACCAAACATTACGTAAGCACGTAGCCCGCCCCACTCATTGTGTAACGTGAAATAATGAGACAGTAAATATAGGTCAAGGGTACCATTGCGGGTCACGTTAGTACAGAAGTGCCAGGTCGGACATGAAACAAGTGGAAACTTTATATATAAATGTTCAGTTCATTCTGTTGCGCTCTAACTTTAATTCAGATAAATAAATAAAGAAAACAACCCAGATATATATATATATATATATATATATATATATATTTGCTTTGTTTTCTTTTAGTGTGTTTTTTAAATGTATGACGCTATGGATGAACTATAACCTAGTTACACACTTTCAGGATCAACAGGTATGTTTTTATTGTAAGCAAAGGTCCGCTGTGACTGGGAAACATGCCCTGACCTCATTTAGCTACCAGCGGCATGCTTGTGTAAGCTGATATCTGGCTCAGTAATGTGAGTCTAATTGCATGCATCATTCTGGTATTTCCTTTAGTAGATACGCTGGCATGTACATGGACTAGTTCTCCTCAAGGCTTGGCACATTTTGGCCTTTTACAGCCTTAGTGTGTCTTATCAGGATTTTCACTGATAAGACCACTGCAAAAATAGAAGATATTTGTGGAGTTGGAGACGAAGGATACATAGTTTTGTTGTGTTGAGACCACATTGTTTAAGACTTGGTCTTGTCTTGTTATTTTATTTTGGGAGTTTTTCTCCATTTACTACGACGTTGTGTGAAACTCAACGGTAATGGGGGTTCACTGCTCCACTAATAAACTTTGACAAAAAGAAGGGCAGAGAAAAAGATAAGCACTTGCTCTATTGCTCAGCCACCTGATTACACCATAGTTAAACATTTTTTATAAGAAGACAAATCCAAATCTGATTAAATAAAAATAATTATTTATTTTTAGGATAACCTCTTCCTCCGTCCCCATAGCAGGTTGCTGCCACAACTATGTTTCACCAGCCAATACCAGAAAAGAAGGTAGTATATGGTTCTAATTAGTCTTAATGTTGGTCTCTCACTTCAGATCCCGATGAAATAATTGAAGTTTGTTGATTTACGAACATCATTGGAGAATAAAATAGTAAAAGAAAGAAAGAGAGAAAAGAAGCATATCTCTACCTACTAACATGTATAACCAATAGGGATTCCTCTGAAGTCACAGCACAACAGCTCAGTTTTAAGACGTTCATTCTTTGACTTCTGGGTTCCTAGCACTAAAGCGTAAACCTCCCTGCTCGGACAGACGCAGATTTAACCTCAATAAATGTTAAAAACCACGTTTTCCAGCCTGTTGTTCATATGATCAAGCATCTTCTTCGGGAGAGGATAATCCAAGCCTAAACCACAGTTGTTTCCCAGGAAATATTAAATAAGATTGCAAACGGAAAGTTTTCCATGTGGGTTGAAGTACTTTTAATGATTTGTGAAGAACATATGCAGTTTAGATGTCAGTGGGATACCAGGACATAATGGTGCTAGATGCTCAGTAGGAGAGACATTAAGGTGGAAAAACATGAGCGTCGTTGAGACCATTAATCATATGTCAGCATAAATCCATCAGCATTTCAAAAGGAATTGGCATGTCTGACATTAATAAAAGGTAAAACAACAGATTCCATTATAGCCAATTTGTCCGTATCCTACTAGAGCGGAAACAGCTGGATTAGTCATGATCAATCGATTATTTAAATAATTGTCAACTAATGGAGTAATCGATTAATCATCTACCAGTGTATATAGACTCAAAAACATCTAACGCACTGAAAATAATAACACCAGTCAGAGCAGTAATTAAGTCAAACAAAAATCAAACACAGTTTGGATTTTAGATGAAAAAATGTGCAAGAAAACTATTGTTTACTTGCACATTTTTACATATTTTATAAAATAAGCCTGACTAAATGAAACATGACATTTAAAAAAATCTAATAACTCAATTAATCATTAGAATAATTGATAGAATAAGCGATTAGTAAAATAAATGTTAGCTGCAGCCCCACATCCTACCTGTTTTTCAGATTATCTTCCCCATAGTGTGACTCACAGTTTTCCATGCAATTATCACAAAAGAAAAAACTTCTAAAGTTGGCCTCTTACTTCTCATTAGCACATGTCTCCCAAGTCGCTTTGCGGCTAATCAATACGTCGTATGTCCTACTTGGACACAGCTGCATGTATAAATAATCCCCTTCGCCTACGGGCCTTTTCAGCACTTCCACTCCTAAATCTTACTGGTGTGAGTGAATTAATATGCGAGCCAGAGAGCGCTTCGCTTTGATTCTTGAAGGGCCCGGCTGCGACATTTACATAAGTTCTTATAGTTATGAAACCTGCAACATGGGAGACCTTGATAGTGGTGCATGGTTTTGTAAGGCAGCAGTCCTTTTTCATAACACATTTTGTAATGTGGAAGCTGGTCCATTTTTTGTAGGATACTCTTCTGTCACATAACTATGGAGCGTATATGCTCCATTAAGCATTTATGCTTAAATTTAGCTTTAAGTGTAACAACAGTTTGTATACTGAGCAATTAGCCTCATGTGAAGAGCAGAAATCCTTTGGTGTGTTAGAAGTTAGAAGAGCTGAAAATACTATTAAAAAGAAAACAATTCATGGTTGTTTTTACAAATAAAATCTGAAAAGTGTGGTGTGCTTTTGTGTTTGCCTCTCCTGAGTAAATAGTTTGTACGACCGTCCTCTACCAGCTTAGTGAATGTTTGCCTGTTCTAGTTTGCTCAGTCAGAGTGAGCTGGAAAAACTGCAACTTGCAGGTCAAATGCTTGGACTTTGACTGGGCCGCTGCATTGATTGCCGCCCAGTTTTTTCTTTTTGCCGCAACTAACAGGTTGTCTGCAAGGTTTGTTCTGTATCTATAAGTGGTGAAATGATTAATTATGATTAATCGATTATTGAAATAATCATAAACTAATTTAGTAATCAATTAATTGTTAATTGCAGTATACAGACTCAAAGAAAGGGCCAGTTGCTGAAAGAACAACACACTCAGAGCAATAATTAAGCTATAACTGTTATTTGCAGAACGTGGCAATTTATTATCCAATTAATAAAATAATTGTTAGTTGTAACCCTAATATCTAGTTTGATCAACTTTGATCACCAGTTTTCTGCCATTCTTAGCCGTTAACATGCAGGTAAACAGCTACATTTTGGTCTCATCTGCATGGACTGCTTTCTTTAATTGAACAAGCGAGATAAAATATCAGTTTAAGTTTTCTGAATAGTTTTCCAGGGGTAGTGTATCTACTATGAAACATCCTTGAACATTTTTGTCCGTTTCCAAATATTTCTGACCCCCAAAAGTACATTTTGAGGGAAAACATACTTTTCCCTCAAACATGGCATTTTATTGCCTTATAAATAGTTATTCAACTAACAGAGCAATAAAAAAACATCCTCATCTTTAATTCCTCTTTGTGTTTATCTCACAGCACCCACAGACCACATCCTGTTCAGCAACCGCTCTCAGATCCACTCCAGTCTGAAGCACCATGACTGGGCTCTGAGGGACGCAGAGACGTCCTGCAGACTGATGCCCTTCTGGTCCAAGGTAAGACCCACATCCTTCTTATTTAGCATAATTTCATCACGGTTGGAATGGAAAGTAAAGGACTGTCTCTGTGGCGACAGGGTCATGTTCGTAAGGCCCAAGCCTTGGTGTCATTGGGCAGGACTGATGATGCTCTGAAGGAGTACCTGATCTGTCTGTCCTTAGAGCCGGACTGTAGACTGGCTAAGGCTGAAGCTCACAGGGTAAGCATATCTTTGATCACTTCAACATGGCTTCACTGTGGGGATGAAATGATTAATTGGATTAATCACGATTAATTCAATTAATCGAATACTGAAATAAATGTCAACTAATTTTGTTCCCTAATAATTGTTTAGAGTATACGGACTCAAAAAAAAAATTAATTTTCTGAAACAAAAAACATATGCAAAGGAGCAATAAAGCCAAAACCGCATCAAACATATTCACATTTTGCATTTAAGAGAAAAGAAGGAATGGAATTATTTATTTACATCGTTTAACATATTTCTAAAGCTGTATGTAAAAGATGGAAGTGGCTACATAAAAAAACATCTGCAGAATGTGCCATTTAGAAAAAAAATCTGATTAATCGATTGCCAGAATTATCAATAATCGGTTTCTAAAATAGAGTTGCAGCCTTACTTCAATTTTAAGAATTTATCTTCATCAGTATGAATCTGTAGGAATTTACAACAAAATGGTCACTTGAACGCTGTTCTCCGTCACCTCGCAGCTTCTAAGTGACTTCCTGGCTCCAGTCACCGATCAGGTTCCTGAACACATCTCCGGCTGCACCAACTTCCTGTCTTCTAGAGCACACATCAAAAGCAGCATCACTGAACCCATCCAGGTAAAGGTGCTCCTCCTTCGAAATCAATCTGACATCTTTTCTTTCTACCACTTCCTTATTGAACTCTTCTTCTACTGCTCTTTCCATTTTTAGACCGTCAGTCCTGGGTCGCTGTTCACAGAGCTTCCTCAATCAGCAGCTGGGAGGTCCGACAGGAGTCTCAGAAAAACCGACTCAAATCTCCTTAAACGGAAACGAAGGGATGTGGAAGAAGAGGGGGAACCACAGGAAGAAATCGGCCACCAGAAGAAATCCAAGTGTGGTGAGCTTAACGCTCTAGTACAACTGTGCTGTTTCTCCTAGGGGAGGTCGTGTTGTTCACCGTCTGATGGAATCTCTTTGTAGAACAAACTCAGGGCCTGGATTCTTTAGGTGCCGTGTCCAGTGACCTCTTGGACCCAACGGATCTGGAGTGTTCCCTCTGTATGAGGTCAGCCTGTCAAATGCATCTTGCACTATCCCATGGCAGTCACAAGAAAACAATCTGGAAAATAAGTTCATTATCGTGCTCTTGGTTTTTGGCTGTGTCTCCTGTACAGGCTGTTCTACGAGCCGGTAACAACGCCATGCGGGCACACTTTCTGTCTTCAGTGCCTGGAGAGATGCCTGGACCACAACCCCAAGTGTCCACTGTGCAAAGAAGAGTTGTCTGAGGTATGTGCTGGGTCACATATATGATGTTTCTCCCAATGTCGGCCTCTGCTTCCTCTGATTCATCAATTCTCCTTCTGTGTTTCCACCCAGTACTTGGTCCAGAGGCTGTATTGTAAGACAGTATTAATAGAGAACCTGATATCGAAGTATCTTCCCTCTGAGTTCATTGAGAGACAGAAAATGCATGAGGAGGAGATGGCTGAGCTCTCCAAGTACGTCACTGAACACCCTCTGCTCTTCTTCTTTCCGCTTTCTTCTTGACTTTTTAACTGAACTCATTGTCTCATCTTCTTGTTTTGGTTTAGTCTCAATAAAAGCGTGCCTATATTCGTGTGCACCATGGCCTTCCCCACCGTGCCGTGTCCCCTCCACATCTTCGAGCCCTGCTACCGACTGATGATTCGCAGGTGCATGGAGACGGGAACCAACTGCTTCGGCATGTGTCTGGGAGACGACCTCAAAGGGTTAGTGGCGGACGCAGTATGTCATCTTGGCGCTTCTTGAAATTAAAGTAGACGCCTAAAACACAACGCATCTTCTCATTTGCCCCACAGATTCGTTGGCTACGGGTGTCTGCTGGAGATCCGTGATGTCAAGTTCTTCTCGGACGGCCGATCAGTGGTGGACACAATCGGCAGACGGAGGTTTAAAATCATGCAGCACCGCGAGAGGGACGGATACAACACGGCAGATGTAGAGTATCTGGAGGATGTGAAGGTGGGATCAGAACTGAGAGGGAACGAGCTTTAAGTATACCAAAAAAGGAGGTTAAAGATCTAAGTTGTGTCTTTCCATGTATTTGCAGGTGGAGGGCATAGCAGAGCGTGAGCTGCAGTCGCTACATGATGCAGTGTACGACCAGGCTTTTGTCTGGGTCAATTCTCTGAAAGCTGAGCAGAAGCAACGCATCGAAGGACACTTTGGACCAATGCCTAAGAAAGACCTTGAACTCCAGGTACAAACACACTTTTTGGGGATGAACACAGCATCCTAGTGAAGACAGGTATTTCATGGAGGTAGGATTGCATGTTGCATTGTGAGGATTTGCTGGAACACCTCATCAAAACCTCATGATTAGAGAGCCAGGCTAGACACAGGAGGACAGCTAGCTTGACTTTAATGCTCTCCACAATATTTAGTCAATCTCAAAAGTCCGTTCTAAGGCCAAGCATTAATATATACTGCCTGTTTTCTGACCTTTTCTTTTGTTCTATTTGATTCTGTTAGCTGAAATAAACAATGTGAAGTAGAAGGTGCACTACATTTATAAGCTAATGATAACTTAAACATAGCTTCAACTGAAAAAAATAATTGTTAAAAGGCTAGCCTGTTAGCATCAAACAAACACTGTTACAAAGGCAACCCTTGCTCATATTAGAGCAGAAATTAAAAACATTAAATAAACAAGTTATGGAGTAACATTAGCTAAAATTAGCGCCGAAAAGCCTCATTTGCGTATCGAAGTGATAATTAACGATCGTTAACGAGACGTTTTAACTCACCTTTATCACAAACACAGACAGGTATCAATGAAACAGAAAAGTAACTGCTGCGAAAGGCTTATAGTCCTAAAGACCCTCTTAGCTGCCCAACAAGGTGCCTGATGTAAAATACTAAGTTCAATAAAAATATATGTATTTAGCATTTATGATTAAAAAATCCTTCTTTGTCTTTAAATATGTTTTACCCAGAACTTCTCAAATATCCTAGTTTTAGCTTGACTTGGTTCATTTTTATTTTATTTTATTTTTAAACTCCTATTAAGCATATTTTCCTATCCAATTATTAGAAATGGCTGAGCTTTTCATATGTTGATGCTAAAAGTGCGTTCTTTTAGCCACAGATGCATCCTTTGCTACAAAAGATCAAGTGCTCACTAAAGAAATGCTATGTTAATGCATTATAGGCAATGAAATGTTTTTCTTATTTTAATGTCTTATAAAATAGGCCTAAGTAGTTAAATGAAAAATGTGCCGAGTGTGTCAAAAGAATTTTTATCCGATTGCTCGATTTTTGTTAGACTAATAAATAGAACAACCAATTTAATGTAAAAATTAAACTGATTGTCTCACCGCTGTTGCTCTGTCTCTGTTGTCTCTGCAGGCCAGCCCCAACGGCCCCTCCTGGTGCTGGTGGTTACTGGCTGTTCTCCCTTTAGAGGGCCGGGCCCAGCTGCCGTTCCTCGCCCTCACCTCCCTGAAAGATCGCCTCAGCGGCATCCGCAAGGTCCTGCTCTTCATGTCGCAGAGCAGGCCCCGGTGACCTGACAAACGCCGTCAACAAGCTACGCACAAGCGCACAACACCCTCGCCCGAGAGCAGCTGACGACCAGTTCTTCCGTTTCTTCGCACAAATAACAGCCACTGTTGCACTTCGACAGCAAACTTTATAAAACAAGGAGTTTCTCGATCGAATATCTTCCTCGTGCTACTTTCACTCGGCAGGAAAACGACGAATGGCGGAGGACTCGCAGAGCTATGTTTGGTGAATAAACTGAAGTGTATCGCAATCATGTTTTGCCACAAAGTTGCAGCTTAGCGTAACATCGCTCACTCTGATTTTCTCTCTGAATCCTGTGAAAAGCCTCTGTGTCATTTACATCTGTCTTCGTTCCACTGAGTTTCTTCCTGTTCCTGCAGCAGTCTGTAGTTTATTTGGAGCTCAGCAGGTAACATCCCCCAAATGGTCAATCTGCTTTAAAGTGACACCAAAAGCAATTCTTCCTTTTCAGATATGTTTGAATTTGAAATAAAGCGGTCGCTAATCTGTTCAAATGGATATAAAACTAAAGAAAAACAACTCGACAATTTTTTTTGTGTGTAAATGCATTCAAGAATTATTTTTGATATCTCAAATAGTATTGCTATAATAACAAAATAAACTTACCTTTTAAAACTACTTACTGTAGAACCCCATGAAATAGGTAAAAACTGGTTTGGGTTTTGACGGAATTATGAGTTTCAAAACCACAATATTGACTTTGAAGGTTTGGAAATGATAAGAATGTGCTTTATGACTTTGACTTTCATAAGTACAAGGACTTTGAAACTCATATTTATGACTTTTCATCTCAAAATTATGCCTTACTATTGTTTTATTTTTCTTCCAAGTAGCAGAAACGGGCTTCCTTCAGCTTCTGAACTTCCATCCTTTGTCCAGTTGTCTCTTTTTAATCCATTTAAATAACATCAGACTGAACCGTCATATATGGTCTGCTTTAAGGCTCCCAATCTTTTGTTGGACTGTTTTTTTTTGTTTGTTAGCTATTATTTATTTGGTTATTTATGCATGAAGTGACATTGTTTACATTGTACTTTGAAAGAGATACTGGGCTGCTCACTTTCCTCTGATCCAATCTCTCGTCAATACCGTGGTTATCAGTGTGAAGCTTTAAAAAGGAGCTGCACTAGACATGTTTTTTCTTTTTTTTTTTTCTTTTTTTTTTTACAAAACCACATTTTAGGGAAACATATTTAAAACAAAATAAGAGTTTTATTGGATATTTAGCATATTAAAATAGTCTCTGGTGAAGGAATTTTGCAGCGAGGAAAGGCCAGTGCCTTTTGTTCTCACACAAAGGATCCATTTACGAACCAGACTTACTTCCAAGTCGCTTTATCCGAGTTTTCCCCACGAGCAGGTTAAAACATTTTTCTGCAGCAGATTTAACAAAATGAAACAAGAGGAAACATACTTTTGAGAGAAAAATAACAAATCTCGAGGCCTTGCTCTTGTCTGTGATATGATTGTTTTTACGTGCAAAAGCAAATCTTTGAAAAATGTACGAGATTGTTTGGCTTTACCTTTAAAAAAAATCTTTTATTTTGTATACAAAGGTTTGATTTCTTCTTCTTTCTTTTCTTTTCTTTTTTTTTACGTGTTTCTATGTCAACATAGTTCTTTGTATTTAAAATTTTCTTCGCTTATTGGTGTGTTTGTCTGGTGTGTCGGTGTATGTGAAGTAACTTGTCAATTCATCCACATTGTAATATTTTCTAAAGGGCCAAAGCAATGTAATGCTGGACATTAGAGAAATTAGGTTGCTGTACTGGAAATGAAGCATTTAGGCATGGGCTGGTATAACATTCTAACAGCGCTGAGTGAAATCATCATTGTATAATGTTACTTTTGTTTTAATTAACAAAAAATGTACATGCCTTTATTAGGCGATTCTCTTTTAGTTTTCACACTGTGACCATCCATGTTTTTAATAAACGGAATATTTCCAAATATCTGATTTTCTCTTACTTGAGAGAGTAAAAAAAAAATCTAGCAGTCTTCACTCAGCCAGCTGACCAGCAGTGCGCAACAACAGGTAGGAGAGGGGCGTTCCTACACTGTTCTTATCCTCCAACCAGCTGGAGAAAATTCTGTATGATGGAAAATTTCTCAAACCATAACTTTTTATGTTATACCTGGTATACGTGGATATCGGCCACGTGCCCATGCCTAATTTCAGGGTTTTGTGTGACAGTTTTAATGGGAAATCTATAGAATGACATTTTACTAATTATAAATTATCCTGAGTACAAGCTAGTTGTCCCCTAAATTTAGTGTTTTTCAATGTTATTTATAGAAAATGAAAAAAAAATCATTATTGCTAATATGTGCAGTACATGAAAGGGAATACATAATTGTTAATTATAGAAATGTCCAATGTAAAATCATAAGTGAGATATATCTGATCTATTGACAAATTTGTGTCTGGATTGATGTGTACAGACTGACTTTATATTGAAATCCTGTCTCCTTGTCCCAACATGTTCAGAGAGTGAATATGGTAATGGAATAAACACATGTAGCAATAATAAAGCCTGAATGTTTTACTTACGTTTTGGTTGGATTTTCTGCATTGTCTTAAACTGGACAGATCCTGTTTTGATGAATTAATGGAGCAATAGTAATGCGCACAATAATAAAAGGGAAAAGACACCTTAGTGTTTTAATTTTTTATTTTATTTTATTTTATTTTTTCCAATACTTCCCTCTTCATCAAAAATGTTTCAACGCAATAGCTGACTTACCTTTTACGAATACACTTTAACATTGTATCCTTAATGTAAATTTTGAACAATATTTTTTAAACCTTGTCGTAGAGAAGCGACTGATTAATATAATTTATTTCACGACTGCTGACTTTTAAGTACTGTACACGAAACACGAAAGCTAGTTCGCTGGCTAGCCTAGCAACATTAGTTGTGTTATCAGAAATTAAGACTCAAAATTAAGAGCCAAATGAGAAATAATATGTTCATTGGAGACAATTCAACATGATGGAAATTAGCAATAGTTGATTTAAATAGTACTTGACGTTTGGGTTACATTTTAATTCGAACTGAATCAGCTTCGCTTTACAACTTCCTGCGTAGCGATGATAGTTTAAGGGTCCTTCTAGAAACGAAAAAAATTACTTAGGCCATTATTTTAGGAAGGTGACAAAATGTTACTTTGCACTTGGTGATGTCAGGCTTGGATGAAATGTCATGAAGTTTGGAGGTCTAAGTATATTTTATTACTTGACTTATTGCTAATAATACTGTTTGAATTCATTGAGCTCGTGTAAGTGTATTTTTTCATACGTGTTTGTAGTCTGCATGCTATGGCAGACTTCATAGACTATTTTATGGACTTTTTCCCCTGGAGGTGAATGAAACGTCTGAATTTCATGATTAGACAGGGTGACATGCCATGTTGACACAAACAGTGTATCTGTTCAGAGCACAAATGTTGCCTTTCTGAAGAATCTCCACAACTTTCTTTAGGACTTAAGCGCCCTTAGGGGACACAGATACAACCCCTTCTCTCGTCTACATCCTGCCAAGTTGGCTGGTTATATAACCCGAACATGAGAAGGTCAACAACTACCAGCCATCGCCATGGATACTTGGCACGGTCTCACATGCATCGTACGTCTTGGCTGGTAGACTTTAAGGCCTACATGTGAATGTGACCGTGCAGGTGTCAGAAGTAGGCCAGGCAGCAGCAGTGTTGCCTAACTCACCCAGAAAAGACATCTGGAGAATCTAAGCTCAGCCGTTATGGCTTCCTGCTCTGCATGTTAAACATGCATCACACGAGAAGCAAACGCTGGCTCGAGTCCTAGATTAATTTATGCAAGCAGGAACCCCCTATAGGTCAGCTAACTATGCAGAGTAACACAAAACCAGACAGGAATGAATGTGCGTATGTGTGTGTGTGTGTGTGTGTGTGTGTGTGTGTGTGTGTGTGTGCCAACACTAGTTTTCCAGGCACTTTGTGTTCTATAACTTTAAGGTAAAAAGGAGTTGAACAGATATCAGACTGTGATCATGTGTTGTTTTTCCTGCCAAAACTTTTCTGATAGGTGTCCAACATGGTTTAGCTGGGCGTGGCAGAGTTACATCCATGTGAACAAGCAAGAGTATTCTCAACCAGGAGTGAAAGTATTGTACACTCAGTGTCTGTATGTTACTCTTGAAGACGTCAAGTCATATTTATATGGTTTAAAAGAGTTTTAAGCCGTGGTACCTATAAACACCAACCAGTGCAACTTGGGTTTCCTTAATGGGGCAGTATTATGCATTTTCCAGGCATATAGTGCCATTTTATAACACAATCAAGTAACTATTTTGGGTATTTATATCAAATAGAACTTTAAAGAAATTAGATTTTGTAATTCAGTGCCTTGAAATTGGGTCTCTGTCTCTTTAAAAACGCCACCTTCAGGAAGTCATCACATGGCTCCTCTATTAGCCCTTTAACAACGTTTTAACCAGAAGTAGCTCGTATAATTAGATCAGCAAACACCCAGTTGAACCAGGTGTTTGCTAATTGCTGCTGGCTCGTCCGAAGGAGCTTAGTGGGGGAGGGTTGTTCAAGCTCTGAAGCTTGAAAAGTCCAGTTCAGAGGAGGAGCTGCGCCTCGAAGGCGGGGCTAGGCCCACCCAGGCGTTTTGCACAGCTAAGTGGTTGCCATGGAAAGTGAAGGATTTCTCAAACACGCATGAAAGAATCAACGCAACACTCGAGGTACGTTTTTGACAACGGAACAACATTATAAAATAATTTTACATAATACGGCCCCTTCAATCACCTTTCACCTTGTAGGTAATGATCAATATCTCATGCAATTCACCTCTCCATCTTCAGTATCTCCACTCATTGCAGCTTTTCTCTTCTACTTCTTCCTTCGATTGCCTTTCTAAAATCATAATGAAAACAGAAGCAGAAGTCACCTTAACAGTTCAGTGTTTTGTGCTAGATTTGGAAGAGGTTCTCGTTTTCTAAGAAGACAGTAAAGCTGCCAGTTCTTCTCATCAAATGTGGGTCAGATAGTTTGAGTGAAAAACAAATAGTTCTTGCAATATTATTTATGTGAAAAAAGGACAGAAAAAGATAAGGAATTTTAAATGAGCTCAACTGTAATGCACCACAATGAGTCTGTCACGTAAATTTAGAGGTTTGTGATTGCAACATTTTAAAAATTAAAGTCTGAAAGCTTTCACAAGACACAATTTCTTCCCCCATCACACACAAAACAGACCAAACCCCACCCACCCGCCACACACACACACACACACACACACACACACACACACACACACACACACACACACACACACACACACACACATGGTTTCACTTGATTTCTTTTTATAACTGTACACTTTATGTACAAGACAAATTCTCCAAAGGCAATGCAAAATAAAATGTGTAACATTAATAATTACTGTAAGACAAAATGTAAATAAAAGTGAGCAAAGCTCGGCCCCGGAGACGGGAGGATGCTGACCGCTCGGGTTCGGTCCTGAACAGGATGTTTTGTTATGGATATCAAATGTCTGCGGGACGCGCGCTCGTATCCTGCAGTTACGCACCAAGACACGACAACAGAAGGTCTCAGGAAGTAGGAGAGGAAAGGAACCACTGAGTTTACACTTTCATTATCGCTGCACACCTGCTGAGGCAGCGATCAGTGATTAGTTTAGTCTCTGGAGAAAATGTTAGGCAACTTCCTGAAGGACTTTCTTCATCACCGAGATAAAAAAAACCCCCACCTCACACAAGGAAAGGGAAATGCAGAACATGTCCGCTCACTGTAGAATGAAACAGACTGATTCTCTTCTACAAACTGT